GGCCGGCTGGGCCCTGCCACGCTAGGCTGCTGGCCACCGTGTCTAGGCCTGCGATTTACCGGGGTCATACATTCTTTTTTGCCGGGGTCTTTGCTGGCCAAAATCGCACGCTACCAGCATCGGTCGCCGAGTCGTCGGGGTCGGACGACCCCGACCGCGTAACGTAGCTTCGCCACTGGTTAAAGCATACAGATGTTTGAATGATGCATTCTATATTTCACAACATGGAGTGTTTGGAACAATAAATAACATCTGTCTTGGACACTCTCATGAGGGAGGTTACTGTTGTTTCCTATATATTAAAATGCGATTTTAATTCAGTTGTTTCATTCCCTTAGAGTCTTACTTCTTTAAATGTTTATTGGGAGGGTGACGCGTGGCATGCTGTTGTTGCATCAAGTTTGGTTTTGCAACTGATTTTGTCAAATAGTTTGAGCTGCAGTTTTTTCTCTGTTCAGTGTACAGCACCCCGAGTGAAGATGTGATTCTGGTTTCATGTCAATTGGAATCGGGTTTGATTTTGCACATGATTTTGTAAAATAGGCTGAGCTATAGTTTTCTCTGTTTAGTGTACAGAAGCAGCTCGTGCTCTCTTTTTTGTTTTTTAATTGTCAGTCCAGCAGCATATCAACCCTTGATCGAACCGATTACATTCTCTTTGCAGGACTATAGCATCAGCAGCTCAGACATATTCCATGATCTCACCGTTCTGTATCCACGCCGCATAGGTGCAACCTCTGCTCTGATTATGATTTAGGACTGACCATTTAATTGTGCATATGTGGCTCTTTAATTGTTTGTGACTACAGATGTCCATTGTCTAGGAAAAAAAATTAGGAGCATCGTAAAACAGAGCTGCAGGTTTTCTTTTAATTGTTTCTAAAAGCATGGTGAACCAAGTTAAGGTACTACACTCATCTATTTTTCTTTACCACAAGTGATTCCAAAGCTAGAAACTGAACTGCTGATTAGTGGATTAGGTTTAAGATTGAGGTTTTGTGAAAAATTATTTTTTATTTGACCCTATGTAGACGAATAAAAACTGGTCTTAAGAGAAAAAAAGTCCGTACTTTTCAAAAGTATATCCATATAGTTGTTAGCACGAGTATGATATATGTATCTGAAGTAAGTGTTTCATGTTATAGCACATCAAGCAAGAATTTTTTTTTAAAAAGGGTAAAGTATAATTTACACCCTCCAACTTTCATCAAAGTATGGATTTCAACCTCGAACTTCAAAACCGGACAACTTTGGCCCTCCAACTCTCGAAAAAGTTGAACTTTCAACCTTCTGGACGGTTTTGCGGATGAACAGTAACTTTTGATATTTTCGGGAGCGCCGAAATTTTATATTATTTTTTCGAGCATCTTACTGTCCTCAAATGAAAAAAATTAAAACTATAAAGTTGTAGATCTCATCGAGGTCTACAATTTACATATAAAAATTATCTTCATCCGATATCGTATTGAAGGGTTTTCTATTTTTTGAAATTTGAGTCTCATCACGCGACAAAATTGTTTCACGCGTGATGAGACTCAAATTTCAAAAAATAGAAAACCCTTCAATACGATATCGGATGAAGATAATTTTTATATGTAAATTGTAGACCTCGATGAGATCTACAACTTTATAGTTTTAATTTTTTTCATTTGAGGACAGTAAGATGCTCGAAAAAATAATATAAAATTTCGGCGCTCCCGAAAATATCAAAAGTTACTGTTCATCCGCAAAACCGCCCAGAAGGTTGAAAGTTGAACTTTTTCGAGAGTTGGAGGGCCAAAGTTGTCCGGTTTTGAAGTTCGAGATTGAAATCCATATTTTGATTAAAGTTGGAGGGTGTAAATTATACTTTACCCTTTAAAAAAAGGATTAGCACCAGGCAAGAATGGACATGCAAAAACCTAGCTTTGGGGATGGAGGCCTAGATGATCATTGTAACGCGTACTAGGAGCTACATTTTGTAAAACATGCATGTGTACAGTCAATTTTTGCAATGGGAGGAGAACGAAAGAACAATAATTGCTAACTTATTTATGGTCAAATCAATGAGTTATGCATGTGCTTTGAATACAATCAAATTGGAAAAATAAAGATTGTTAACTCTGCATTTGATAACAAAAAAAAGGACCGTGTCCCTATAGGAAATGAAATTATATTTAACAGTTAGGCACCTACCTGACATTTTTTATGTGGCACTGACCTTTTGTCCCTTATTTTTTCAGATAATTGAATAGCGAACACAAAGCCACTTGAATTGAAGCATTGTATTGGTTCTTCACTCTGCTGGATCGTATCAGTATATCAGCACTAAAAGACTGGTATTTCTTTGGACTGCATTTCAATAAATCTCAACAATTACCAGCATGTTTTATTCAAGCTTTTACACTGTCCTGGTTTGATTCTGTCAGCCTAGAATTGGACATGAGAGAGTTGCAATTCATTTTGATTGCAATTCATTTTTATTCAAGCATGATGTCCTTGAGCTTCTGCCCGCCGCGCGTGGCGTCCAGTCCGGCAGCAGGGGACCTCCGACGGGGAGTTGGAGCAGGGGACCTCCACCAGGGGCGAGGAGGGGACCTCCGGCGACGAACAGCGCGGGGCATGTAGGGCCGCTGGGATGAGCAGCATTGGGGGCATGAGGGGGCGCCGGGATGAGCAATCGCGGCCGTGGAAGAAGCGACTGGAGGAGCGCGATAGGAGCACGACGGCGAAAGAAGAGGGCTGTAGGCGGTGACGAGAACTTCAACAGGGCTTAGCCAAGCCTGACCAGCAAAAAACGCCCACCCAACTGATTTCCCTAGAGCCAGGCTAAGGCCCCTAAAGTGGCTTAGTCGGCGTGGCTCCGGGCAGTATACGGACAACCAAACAACTCGAAGTTGGCTCCCTGGAGCCTGGTTGGTCACTCTACCAAACAGGCCCATATACTCGAACGTGTCTATAGGATGGTACAGAGATACGGCGGAACTTATTTGTGAATTTATTGGCGCACGAAAGAAATGAATATCAGAGATTTCTTCCTACCGATATAAAACTTTATCTTAGCCGCATCACTGAAAGGTCTATAAAGTAGAGTTTGTGAGCCTGTGACGCCGCGCTCTCCGTAACTGTGTTAATTTCACAAACTTTATTTTTTAATTAAATATCACTTTAACGTTGGTATTTAATTTTTATAGTATTATTATTTTATTGTGCGATTCATATGTTTTAAGTATAAAATATTAACTGTCCCGTAGCAACGCACGGGCACACTACCTAGTAACATTAATAAAGAAGGATAAGAGTGAAAGTAGTTAGTTAAAGTCACCTCAAAACCGTAGAACGACTGGACAGGGTGTATTTTAAAAATAGAGAAGGAAAGCTAAAATGGCATCATATTATGAACGGGGAAGTAGCTTCATTGCACACTCACCCTAGCCTAATAAACCAGCTTATTTGCTGGCTTATAAGTCACGATATAATATTTTTTCTTTTCAAAAATCAGCCATATAAATCAGCACCGGTGGCTTTTCGACCAGCCGAACACTCAAATCCCTCATTCCTTTTTTTTTTTTGACGTATCGAATATCTCTTCTTGAAAAGAAGTTTCCCTTCCGTTCCGTCTTGTGAAAGGAAAAACACACAAGATGTCGGCCGGTGGGAGCGTGCACAGCCCACGATAGGCGCGGACGAGAGTCGACGAGGCACCGAGCAGATGGCCCAGTTGGTAACCTCGCGGCAGCCGTCCAACGTCGAACGTCACCGCCGCGCCGCCGGGGGCCCGAAGGCCACAGCGCGGCGATGCCCAGGCCGCGCCCCCACTCACCGCTGGCGGGCACGCCACACGAGACCGTCCCGTCCGCACCGCACCGACTGTTGGGATCCGGTGACTAAAATCGTAGACGTGTGTTGTATGAGATGTTCAGATATTAATAAAAAATAAATTATAGAATCCATCAGTATTCCACGAGACGAATTTATTAAGCTTAATTAATCCGTTATTAGCATATGTTTACTGTAGCACTAAATTGTCAAATTATGGACTAGTTAGGATTAAAAGATTCGTTTCGTAAATTAGTCGCAAGCTGTAATGAGTTTCATAATTAGTTTATATTTAATACTCCATGCATGTGTCAAATATCCGATTGGAAAACAAGTAAAGTTTAGGAGGAGAAAAAACACCCCTTAAGAAAAGTTGTCACGTACGCAGGACTCGTGCAAAGCTCGTCCCGGCCGGCCAAGCAGGATATCTGTCCCGCTCCCGCCGGCCACACCGCATAGGCAGCGAGCGAGAGCGAGCAACTCGGACCGGTGGGTGTTAAAAAAAAAAAAAAAAAAAACCCGGACCGGTGGGCTTTCACCACGACGCCACCGCGCCACGGCTCTCCAGCTACCGCTACGCCAACGCCATACTGGGCAGACGGATCGGGTAAGAACAGGAGCAGCTGGTAGAAGTTGAGCCAACACTCCTGCTCACGCCTCACGGTGTGCCGGAGTGATAAGCTACGCCTACACACACCCATGCTTATCCCTCATACGCTGACGCGTGCATGAGAGGGGCCTTATCGTAACCACCACCACGTTGTTACCATGCTTCAGCTCCTTTTTCATTGTTTTTCCTTTGGAATGAACGCCTCGTCATTCTTCACTGGACACTTCCTTCATCCATGTCATCAATAATTCGGCGTACCTACGATCGATCTCTGTCACGCATGACGTCAGCCTGCTGTTCCGTGTGGGGATTTCTCTCTGGGGACGGTGTCACTAGCACGAGCCGCCGGCCGCCAGACGCGTGGCCGGAATGGGAGTGAACGCTGCCGCTGTCACCATGCGGAAATAGAAGATCGCTACACATTCACTCCTGCGCTGTCGCCTCCAGTCCCGGGCGGGCTCTCAGTCTCTCACAATATATATCGGCTCTCCCTGGAGACCAGAGAAAAACACGCGCACACGAGCTGCACGCTCCTCAATTCCCACTCCCATCACCACCCAGTGCTCTGGCCTGCTCACGCCGAACGCTTTCGATGGCTGCGAGCACCGCGGCGGCGCCGGCGCCATGCTACGACGCGCCGGAGGGCGTGGACGTCCGGGGCCGGTACGACCGGGAGTTCGCGTCCATCCTCACCCGCGACGCGCTGGCCTTCGTGGCCGGCCTGCAGCGCGAGTTCTGCGGCGCCGTCCGCTACGCCATGGAGCAGCGGCGGGAGGCCCAGCGGCGGTACGACGCCGGCGAGCTGCCGCGGTTCGACCCGGCCACGAGGCTCGTGCGCGACAGGGACTGGACGTGCGCGCCCGTGCCGCCGGCCGTGGCCGACCGCACCGTGGAGATCACGGGCCCCGCCGAGCCGCGGAAGATGGTCATCAACGCGCTCAACTCCGGCGCCAAGGTCTTCATGGTAAGCATACACACGCGTGCAAACTTGGCTCTGGCTGGCGTACGTACGGGTGAATGGATGAAGCACATGTGATGTGTCGACCGTTGTGAGCTGAGACAACGAGAAAAAAACGTGGCAGGCTGACTTTGAGGACGCGCTGTCGCCGACGTGGGAGAACCTAATGCACGGGCAGGTCAACCTGCGGGACGCCGTGGCTGGCACCATCAGCTTCCGCGACACGGCGCGCGGGCGGGAGTACAAGCTCAACGACCGAACCGCCAAGCTCTTCGTCCGCCCCCGCGGCTGGCACCTCCCCGAGGCGCACATCCTCATCGACGGCGAGCCGGCCATCGGCTGCCTCGTCGACTTCGGCGTCTACTTCTTCCACAACCACGCTGCCTTCCACGCCGGCCAGGGCGCCGGCTTCGGCCCATTCTTTTACCTGCCCAAGATGGAGCACTCCAGGTACGTGCGTGGCAGTACGTGCCACACGCCCGGCCCATATGAACACGTGCCTCGGTGGTGCGTGCACGGTGCACCACACACGTACATGTGCGCAGCAGTGACGTGACTCACTGGACGCTCGCTCGTCGTCTGCTCCAGGGAAGCGAGGATTTGGAACCGGGTGTTCCAGAGAGCCGAGAAAGCTGCTGGGATCGAGCCGGGGAGCATCCGGGCGACGGTGCTGGTGGAGACGTTGCCGGCGGTCTTCCAGATGAACGAGATCCTGCACGAGCTGCGCGAACACTCGGCGGGGCTCAACTGCGGCCGCTGGGACTACATCTTCAGCTACGTAAAGACGTTCCGCGCCCACCCGGACCGCCTCCTCCCCGACCGCGCCCTCGTCGGCCTGGCCCAGAACTTCATGCGCTCCTACTCCCACCTCCTCATCCACACCTGCCACCGCCGCGGCGTCCACGCCATGGGCGGCATGGTAAGCTCACCGTATATCCCCGGCGGCGGCGTCCACGCATGCGCGCGGTCGACGTCACGTGACTAACCATGCAACGAACGAACTCAATCGCACGCAGGCAGCTCAGATTCTGATCAAGGACGACGCGGCGGCGAACGAGGCGGCGCTGGAGCTGGTGCGCAAGGACAAGCTGAGGGAGGTGCGCGCGGGGCACGACGGCACGTGGGCGGCGCACCCGGGGCTCATCCCGGCGATCCGGGAGGTCTTCGAGGGCCACCTCGGCGGGAGGCCGAACCAGATCGGCGACGCCGCGGGGCACGAGGGCGCCAGCGTCAGAGAGGAGGACCTCATCCAGCCGCCGCGGGGCGCGCGCACCGTGGACGGCCTGCGGCTCAACGTCCGCGTGGGCGTGCAGTACCTCGCGGCGTGGCTGGCTGGCTCCGGCTCCGTCCCGCTGTACAACCTGATGGAGGAGGCGGCCACCGCCGAGATCAGCCGCGTCCAGAACTGGCAGTGGCTGCGCCACGGCGCGGCGCTGGACGCTGGCGGCGTGGAGGTGCGCGCGACGCCCGAGCTGCTCGCACGCGTCGTCGAGGAGGAGATGGCCAGGGTCGAGGCGGAGGTCGGCCACGAGAGGTTCCGAAAGGGGCGGTATGCGGAGGCAGGCTGGATCTTCAGCCGGCAGTGCACCACGCCAGAGCTGGACGACTTCCTCACGCTCGACGCGTACAACCTCATCGTGGCGCACCATCCAGGTGCTTCACCGTGCAAGCTCTGAATACACGCATATGCTTTTGTTGGCAGTGCAGTCACTTTCAGAAATAACACCTCGCTGTATAATGCGGCCATCACAGCCATCGAAATAAGGACGGATGACCATCAAACATGATATAGATATGAACTGCCTTGTAAAGCACACTGCATATTATCTGCTCTGGGAGTCTGTTTGCTTTTATCGTGCTTATATATGATAATATGGTGGTCTATGCAATAAACTAAGGTTCAGTTGAACCTGGAAGGACAACTGCACAGACCTGTATGAGAGTACCGAGACTATCTTTCACCCTCAGAACTACCGCTCTAAAACGTGGATCCTTTTAATTTAATAAATCAAATTTCTTTAACTTTAATCACGCTTAAAGAGACTAGCGCCCGGACGTCTACATCCACGCTGCATTCCGTTTTTCGTGCGCCGACACTCCATGCCCGCGCTCGCGCCAGCACACCCATGCCCGCATCTGTGTTTCGCGTGCCCACGCAGGGCCCATGCCACCCGGACGCTGCCCGCGCCACCCGACCACGCGCGGGACCGCTCACGCCCCTTCCGCTTCTCATGTGCATTGCAACATGTGCAACACCCGTTCTATTTTTGAAATATTCAGATACAACACTTGCAACGTATGTCTGAAGACGGATGAAACACTTGAAATATGCGTATGAAACACTTGCAAAAAAAACCCTGAAAAAACACTTGAAACCATTGTAAACATACGGAACATCTAGATAAAACACCTGCAACATATGTGTGAAACATATGCAACATCTAGATAAATACACTTGCAACATACGTCTGAAAAAACAAATAAAACATTAGGAGCAGAAGCTTGCAACATCCGTGTACAACCATTGCAACATATGGTACATCCTGATATACTTTTGCAATATCCATATGAAACACTTGAACATACCTATAAAATGTCTGAAACACTTAAAACATACGCTTGCAACATTAGTTTATCACCTGTTTTTCCAGAGGACGCAAAGCAGAGCGGAGAACGGCCGGTTCCGGCGGCTGAGGATGGTGGCCCTGCCTGGTAGCGGCCAGCTGCGCCTACGCCTAGCTTGGGCCCGACCAACGACTGCCCCGTCTCCTGGCCGCCTAGCCACACACGGTGGGTGACACCTGCAAGTAGAGATGGAGGATGGAGAGGGAGGAAGGCGGCCGCCGCTGGTCGGATCCGGGGAGATGGAGGATGGAGGCCGCCGGTCGGACGAGCGTGGTGCAGAACATCGCTGCGAGGCGGTCGCGTAGTGGGCGGGCGAATAAGCAGCCACGCCGCGGCTGACGGATGAGCGGAGTGGGGATTTTTCTTTTCTTTTTTGAGAGATGGAGCCGATCCTGCCCATGTCTGAGAGCCGTGTTCGGACGGAAGTCACGGGACAGACGCCAGTGGCATATCATCATAAATAGAAACAACAAATATATTACTGCATCAAATTATATACACTATTGGGGAGCGAGGACCAAACTTGTTTAACGTGGTTTGTCAAGATGTTTAATTAAAATTTCTTGCCAAAGAATTCCTGATCAAAACAGAGTAAATGAACTCCAATATACATACATCACCTTGTCAATTCATACAAGGTTTGTCTAGAATCTGGAGCTATCATGAATCACTGTAGAAACAAAACGAACAATGGCATCATCCCGCAGCTTGAGATATCAATGAACCGCACTAAAGAAACTAAAAAGTACTCCCTCTGTTTCCAAATTATAAATTGTTTTGTCTTTTCTAAATACATATTGTAAGCTGTTTTTTTTGTTGAATTACAATAAATTGTAAGCCGTGTTGCCTTTTCTAAATACATAGCTTTAACTATATATCTAGACATAATGTATATTTAGATACATAGCAAAAACAACTTGTCTAGAAAAGCCAAAATAACTTACAATTTGAAATAAAGGGAGTATAAAGCAAATGTGGTGGCATGGGATCGACCATACTGATCACTACCGCAAAATGATCTTACTGCTGCTTATTGTATAACAAAGCTTCCATTTCACCGTGGTTGGAATTGAAAGTAAGTAACCTTTTCAGATTTACAGCAACCAACTCGAGCTACAACCTGTATCCTACAGTCCAGATCTAAATTCGGTTAGAACTTTGTCACTATCAAACACTTGGGCAACCAGATTCATGGGGAGATCATGCTTTCATGCTTTATAGCCATCACCAGCGAGATATTAGGTGATCATCTGTCACGACATCCAGGAACAACATTTGACTAAGACCTCCCGAGAGCAAAATGCATAACGACAGCCATGAGGATTCCAAGGATGCAACCGGCCACAACCTGACATGTCCAAAGAAAGAATATATTACACCTAGAATGTTGCATGTACTATCTGATTGTGTCGGCTGTCAAACTGCTGTGTCAGACTATTAGAAGTGAAGTTCAATCATCAGAGGTGACAACGATGGTATATAGGATAAAGGAAATAGGCACATCTTGTTATCTGCACATGTGAAAATGTTCTTAAGTTCATTTGCATTTTAAGCAATTTTCAGGATAGTGAGGTTTTTACACGCTGAAACTGATTGTCGACCACAGGTTAGGAATGCTGTAGCCTATAGTTACCAAAGTGCATCTAGCATCTCATATATCCATTGTTTGAGTGACATTGAATAAGTTCATTATACAATGCCCTGAAAAAGAAATCTTCATTGAGTACGGATTGTCTTTCCTAACCGGTATGGCCACAGAATAGTTAAAACATCAAGGGAGGTAAATATGAAGCATTTAACTCAACCTGAGGAACAGTATGTCCAAGGATTTCACGCAGTGGCTTTGTCACTGATAATGGGTGTTCCTCTGGTAGCTCATAGACAATTTGATTCAGCACCTGAAAGGATTTGCATAAACAGCACAAGCATCCATCTTGCCTTGTTACAGGAATTTGAAAATATCATTTAAAATGAGATATTATATCTTCAAAATTTTAACCAAATAAATTTGACATGAACTGGTGACAGCGCATGTAAACAGGACAGGAGTATCATTTCATAAGAAAACGTTACTTCATGCTAATCACATTTGGATGTCAATGAAGAATTTCAAAAGTACAATTTTCATTCAATTTTGCACGCATAAAAGTGAAGTGTTTTGACAACAGAACATCTCAGATAAGGATACTCTTCAATGACTTATTTATTAAGTTCCTCATGAAAATGGCAGATATCATCCAGGAAAATATACAAATTTTTATGCCAATAGCAGAATGTAACTAAAGCCAAATAGCAATTTTGCAGAAAATGTTGTGTTCTCCTTAAACACAAGGCCATATATGAGTGTTAGGGTGACGGTGGCAAACCTCTGCCTGCTTTCTGGCATGTAACCGAACTCCAAAAGCATCATGCATAACCTGCAAACAAAAGTAAAAACTAAGTCAAATCAAAGGCTGCATTCATAAGAAAGCAAGATATCCACATCCTTGACTCACTGCAAGAAGTAGATCAACCCTGAGTACTGTTATCAAAATGCAGTTCAAGCAGTAGTTCAATATGAAAAGACATGCAAAGTACCTAAATGCAGAAGAGCTAAATCAAGCTAACAAATTAGCACAAACTAGTAGGACTCTTAAAAAATAACCTACGCTCGTACTAAAATAAACTTTGCTTAAGATAAATCTATCTAGGTCTATCTCGATGTGTGCTACTATGGTTTATGTAATGTGTCTACCCATTCTCACAGAATTTTTCAACTTACAGCTAAATATATATCTGTCAACTACTCCCACAAAAGTAAAGAATTTTTCAACCTAGAGCTAAATGCCTCTCAAGCTACACCTCAAAAGTAAAGGCATACAAGGTTGCAATAAAGTAAAAGCAAAAACTTAAAAACAATAAGTCAGAGATAAGAAAGGGCTCGCAAACTTGGCACAAGGGTTTGAGCCAATTCCCTCGATGCCATCGAAAATTATAGGGCTTCCTCCAAAGACATCCAAAATTTTCATTTCCCTTCACTGCCATCAAATGAAATTTTCATATCCCTCACTACCACTCCATCGAATTTCGTTCAAAATTGTGTCCCTGACATAGGCCCACATGATGGCATTGTACTCCGTCCAATTTTAATGCACAATATGCCAGCCCCTAAGGGTTGATAGCAGGACCGCATCCAAAAGATTACCTCTTCCACACTCAATAGACATCACAATCACCCTACCCATTCACGTGAGAGCTCCCTATCCCTATCCCCATCTAAAACCCTGGTTCCTTGTGCGGCGGCGGGTCAAAGTTTGGCGGCCGTGCGTGGGAGCTAGTCAGGTGGTCTCAGGTAGCGGGAAGAGGGTGAATCACGCCCTTAACTGGGTGCCACACATGTCCACTCGTGGGAGGTGGTGGGCCAGAGGTGGCTGGCCGGGCCCGTCTGGTCGTAAAGAGGAGGAGGGTGACCGACCACCCAATAGGACAACCCACACCTGGGCAATCATGGTCATGATTGGGCCACGTGCCTAGCCGTGAATGCATGGGAGGCGACAGGTACGCGGCCCCACCCAAGCACCTGCCGAGAGGGTGGCCCGCCTCATCTGGCAGTGCAAGCCACGCCTGGGCCTCGCATCAGGTGTTGTGCCATGCCAAAATTCTCAACACCAATATCATTCTCAACTGCGCTTTACTAGCATTTGCACATAAGATTTGTTCGGATCTTCAGTCTTAACTTTGGGGTTTGATTTCACCTTTTCGTCCACGTAGACAGGTGTTTTAGATACAAATTCATGAATAGGAAGATACTACTTGCCATATGTAGTAATGCAAGGGGGAAGTATTAGGGCACTTTTGCACTTTATAAATACTTATAGCCTAACCTAAGTGCATCAAAGAGTGGCCATAGATTTAAAGATGCATTCATGACTTGAGTTACAGTGATTTTTTTCAAATTGTCACTAAGGTCACACTCACAACATAGATTTCATTCCATGTGATCTGTATATAGTGCAACTATCTTTGCTCAAACATACCGATGGTATAATACAATAGTGGACATATGGTTTGTGCATATGATGCAAGTGCTCAACTAGTGAAGGTTGATGACTTGATCAAGGAAGAAGGAGCTTATTGTATATGGGACATTACATAGTCTCGTATGGATAGAAGGCAAAGATGGAAGCAAGGCTTAGGTGCGAAGGACTGTGTGCAAGCCAAATGATTCTTTTGGTGGAGAGATTGTAACATCCTCGGTGTTACACCGTAAATTATTTACTAAAACATGTCATGAGCATCATGTTTATATGTTAATGCAAGTGATAAAATGTGTAGATCAATTTCTGTAACTCGAAATGATCAACTAAAATGCAAAGCGAAAGTAGATTCAATAGTCGTGTTATATCACTTAGGGTTTAAAACCAATTTTTATTAAGCAAAAATGCTATAGAACATGTGTGTGTGATACTTAAATAAAGTTTAAAGTATAAACTTTGTAGATGATAGTGAAATAATTGTGATTGAAAAATGATATTACTAGCTAATATTTACACTAGCTTAGAAATCACAAATGGAAATCAAATTTAACTCTAAAACTTAGAAATTCTCAAGTCTGCCGACTGCTAGACATTGTTGTGTTTAGCAATTTATAGTGAGAGATTAGGTTAAGGAGTAGGGTAGTATTATAGCTTGTTTTAGTAGCCTAATATACCCTCTAAGGTATAGCAAAAGTGGTTTGGGGATTGGATCAACGGTTTAGATGTCTCGAATGCTTTAAAATCCGTGCATAACATGAACTCGGACCATCTTCTTATGTTGGGCGCAGTCACCGGGCCGTCCTGCCCCGATGTTATGGCGTCGGTGCGCCGGGCGCACGCGTACGCGCGCACGTGGCCACGCTGGCCGGTTGCTGCTGCCGCAGCCTGGCCGCGGTGGGACGCCACTAACCGCCGACCGTGAGACGCTGTGCCCGGCGCTCACCTACGCCTGGCCGCCCTGCAGCTATGCCGCGCTGCTGCCGCTGCCGATGCACCGCCTGGGCTTGGCCGAGGCCAGCCGCAGCGAGCCACAGGCCCTACGCCCTGCTGCTCTGCCTCGCACTACCGTTTGGGTGCCGCCGCGGTCGTGCTGCGCTGCCATCGCGTCCGCACTGCCGGCACTACTCACGTCACGACGCTGCCGCTGCCGCCGCATCGTCGTTGCATCGGAGCTGATCCGCTGCACCTCTCTGCTTTTTCTAGCCCTGTGCGTGTCACCTCTGCCACGTGCACGTGGGCGAACCACCATCGCCACACCATTTATGGCACTACAGCGCGTGGGCCACGCCGATTGGACGCGCGCACACGTGGTCCGTAGCACCGGCATGTGGGCCTCCCGAGCCCGCCGCTCGCATCCTGCCAAGACGTGGATGAGCCGAGCCCACCTGCCACGTTGTCTCTCTCTTTCCCTCTTTCTCCATCTGTTTTCCGCCGCTGTCGCGTCGTGTCATGGTGAAGCTAGAGAGCGAGCACCTCTCATCAATTTCTCGTGCTCGCGTCTCTGCCTTCACGCCGCCTCCCCAGCCGACCCCACCCCGCCTTGACTCGCATCATGCCGAGCTCTAATTTTGGAGCTTTGCCTGCCGCCGTGCTGTTAAGGCCCATCGCCCCCACGTCGTGGCTAGTCTCCACCACTTCATCCCGCGCCAATTCCTCTTCACCACTAGCTAGCCTTGGCTCCCTCTTCATCGTGCGCATGCAAGTCGCAGCTCTAGTGCCGCCTCCTCACCACTGACGCGGTCGTGCCTTTGCGGTCCGTCGTTCACCTCGCAGCGCGCACGTGGCCAGCCTCGCTCGGGTTGTCTCCGGCCGAGCCGGTTTCTTGGTAAGGTCACTGGTGAGTTGTCGTTGCTCACCCGTTACCCCTACCGCCTTGTTGTTGTTGTGGCTCACTTGAATACCGTCGCCATTGCCGTAGGGTGCCCATCGTTGTGTAGAGGTCCTTCTACAACGTCTCGGCTCATGCAACCGCCACCCATCGTCTCGCGTCGAACCCTAGGTGACTGTCGGTCTCGTAGATAGGTCAGCGGGGGTCCCGTGTGGCCGGCGTAAGCGCCAGTGCCACCGCTCGCCGCGCTGGAGCATGCGGGGATGGTCGAGGACCTTGCCGTTGAAAAGAGGAGAAAGATCTGAGGGTTCCATTGCAAAGTCGCTCTCTATAGAAATAGTAACGTGGACTGCGGGTTGTTTTGCTCATAGTCCAGGGGCATTTTTGCAAGAGTGCCGGTGCGCGTGGGATTCCTCACCGTGGGATGCCTCCACGCATGGGCCGCGCCTCGCCTGTGGGCCGCTGCGCGCGCGTTGCACCACTTGGGTCGCGTTGGGCCGAATTGAGTTTATCTTTTTCGAGAAGAAGAAATAGCTTTTCATTTTAATTCTGAGCAGAACTTTGGTAAATCATATAAAATCATGTAGGTATCCAAAAATTGTAAAACTAATTTTGTTAGTTCCTAAAATTGTGCTCTATCTGTTGGTGTATTTAGTTCATATATATATTTGTTGATACCAAGAACTATTAAATCATTTGAGAGTGCTTAATATTATTAGGTTAAATATTGTAGGTATTTTTGTGGCAACATGGTGATAGCTGTAGCTTTGAAAATTTTACAGTATTTTCATGGTATTATTATGTGCTCACTGTAATTTTTGTAGCTTTAGAATAGACTTAACATAAAGGTAGTTAAATGCTCTTTGTTTCAAATATACATTAAATCATTAGTAGAAATAAAGATATATCCTTCATTTGTAAAGCTAGGTGTTTGTTAGTTGAACCCAACACTTTACTTGATAAAGATGATAGTTAGCTTAGTATCTAAGTCATTAGAGCTATTTTAGTAGTTTACCATGTGTATTATTAATTTAGGAGCTGATGTTGCTAAAATACTAAGTGTTGCATCATCATCGCATGCATGTAGAGAACGAGTTGGCAGAGATCATGACCATCGGATACCACGAGTTTGAGGAGGTGATCGAGGAGTATGAGGAGGAGATCCTCAAGTAGGAGGAGCTCTCGGAGCCGCCACTGACAGACTGAGCTGACACAGTGCCTGCCCAAGGCAAGCCACGGTGCATAACCCTTATTTTGAATGATCACTGGATATATATATATATGTGATGTGCATTTATGTTACAGGATTTATATTGAAACTACATGCATAAATACACCTACCCAGGAGTCCTACTAGCATAGGTCGAGTAGTTGCTATGCTTAGGCTATCGGTAGCGTGAGTAACCTACCGTTACTCACAATAGGTGATTATTATTACCACTCTCATGATAAAATGGTGAAAAGAAATGGAGACCAGGCAGGGATATGATACGAATATTGGTGGGTGTAAGAGGTTGTATTCCGCGGCCAACGGGGCATAGCTTGGTTACACTGATTTCCTTGTCCGTGTCGGTTAAGGACTGGCCGTTGCATTGGATTGTAGTCAAGTCACAGACTTATTATCCTGAGCACATACTTGTTTATGGGAATAGGAAAGGCTCGTTGCTCTCTTGTTGTTGGTTCCGGCTCTTTCCGGACCGAATGATTGGAGGCGGGGATGGTGGAGGTCTAAGCACCACACTGAGTTAGAGATTCAGGAGTGGGGGCTTTGAGTCCAAGTTTGGATGGGGACCTAGACCCCTTGACAGGAGAGTGGTGGGTTGGTCCTGCTTGTGCATGGGGTACAAGAGGGGCGTTGTTTCGGGGTACCCAGCTGGGCTACATTGATTCACGAATTGCCGTGTAATATGGTACGACTTGTCTACGATCTAGCACCGTAGTAAGAACTGTAAGATGAAAGATGATGAAATGGATCTGATTGCTCAACTCTTACTTGAAAGTAGAACAGGTGCTTACATAGAATGGCTAGAAAAATGAACTAATCATGACTGCTAATAAGAACATCCATAAGGATTCACTACTAGTAAGGCTTTTTGCAAAAAGGAAACCCCACAAACCATAAAGCTTATTATATCCTTTGGAGTCGGGAAATTATTCCCACTAGTCGGGTAAGTATTGCGAGTACATTGTGTACTCAGGGTTTATTTACCCCTATTGCAGGTGCAGCTTGAGGAGTGACTGTTGTGTGGAGGATTCTTCTATTGGGCACAGAAGGATCCTTATATCTTATCGCTAGATGTTTATTTCAATTCCGCTGTTTAAATTCCACACTCTAAGCTTGGTATTGTAATAATGTATTTTTTAGAACTCTTGATGTATGAAATGGACTAAGTATTGTAAACTTGTTCTCATTATTGGATCTTGAAGGAAAAACATAGATTGTTCGAGTTCTCTCTTGGGGTGTGCTCGATGGAACTGCCCAATATAGCTTGCTTTCGGGGTGCTTAGTGTCTGGTGGAAGACGAGCACCTCCGAAGGTGTGTTATTTCGGGCGGTTCTACCACAGGTGATACCAAAGCCAATAATGACTTACGAGTTTCATAACTCTTTTCAAAACCTAAAATTTGACCAACAAAAGTTTTGCGAAAAGTAGGATGAGATAAAATTATGTAAATAAGTATAAGTCCTAGCAATATGGTCTATCTAGGATAGTAGCACTGGTTTTATCTAATCAAGTTTCTGTTGGTACACTAACTTACGCATATTAAATCCCCCGCTAGAATCACTCTAGAATCAATTCTCACCTACACCCCACCCCGCTCATCACTCACCAAAATCAACTAGAATCACTCCATCAAAGAATCAAGCAGCTAGAGCTAAGAATTAAGGAGTGGAACTCTACCAAACAGGCCCCAAGATCCTCCCTTTATCAAACATGTGTTCTAGTCTAGTCAGCGCGCAAGGGTGTTGATACTCTGTTCACGCTTACAACCTGGCAAATCCAGAAGGAGAGGAAGAACGCCCACGTCTCTCAGGGAGCAAAAACACAGCCAAGCGCGTTGGTTTAGCAAACCAGAGCAGAAACCAAGCTTTGGATCACAGCAGGAGAGGCTAAAAACTAGGTTGTCTCCTTCTTGTGTAGTCGACTAGCTCATTCCTGGTGTCAAGTTGTTGTTTGCATTGATATGTAAGATCACGCTGTACTTGTTTATCGGTTGTGGCTGCGGCTACAACAAGTATGTCCAAGTTCTGGCATGTGTTCTGTTATAAACAGACTCAATTCTCCTTAATACAGAAACACAGCGTGCCCTCCTCTGAGTATTCGAGTAAAAGAAGTCCCAAACCTAGATTGGTTATTGGTTATTGTCTCACCAGTCACCACAGTTAAGTAGCTTATCCACTGCAGTTCCGCACAATACATTGCAATATGATCTTTATAATAGGCTAATAGCTAAAGTTAACATACAAAGCAGATAGTTGGGAAAGAAGCAAAGTGTAAACATTTATATTTTCAACGAGCTTTTAGAAGGCTTTTCCAGTTAGCTTTATAACCTGTCCTTAATTTGATGAAACAGCTACCAATAATGTACCGAGGATCTCTTTTAATAACACACTAACCATGAGTGGGATGGGATGAGCAATAGCAAATTGTCCTAAAAATTAAAGTGATAACTGTTATGTTTGTATATACAATTAGATATGCATGATGCATCATCATTTTATATTGTAAAAAAACTCAATCAGCGGTGGCTAGAGAGTCCCGGGTATTCTGGCTTAAGAAGAAGATCTTCTCACGCAGATTGAGAAAATCCCCGAACCTCTGTCCCACCCTTACACTGCGGCATAACAGCTATGTGAGATGAGCTGGCCACAGACCTGGTCGCTGTGACCGAAGCCACGAGAGTGAATCCTCCAGGACTCAAACTCTGACTACCCTAGGAGGGAGGTACTGAGCCTGCACTGACCAACTCGGTCAGCCAGCTGTTCCCATCATTTTATATTGTCAAGTCAAATAATGTGTGCTTAGTGAACTTTAGGAAATAAATATAAAAGAAATAATAGAAGAAGGTCATGATCCCACACCTTGTACTTATAAACACCAGGAGCTTCAAGACTGCCAGCCAGGAAACTACCCATCATAACAGTTGATGCCCCTAGAGTCAGGGCCTTCACAATATGCCCAGAGTTTGAGATTCCACCATCAGCAATAACAGGCACATCATGATCCTTGGCATATTGCGCGACCTTGTAAACTGCAGTAGCCTATATATATAATTAACAAAGAAAAGAGAAAAGAAAAAAGGGAAACGGCATCAGGATAGTGGGACTCAAAGCTCCAACTATTGGAAGTAAGGGCAGAAAAGTGTATATATGAGGATAAACAATATAAGGTCCCACCACTATTTTTTTAGAAAGGATGGCAGAAGCTTTGTTGCGATTTCTATTAGACGAAGAAAGATAAAAATGCAAGTGCCCACCCAGTTTTTGGAATGGAACTGAGGTCCCACCACTATAGATTTGTATAATAATTTTGAAATACACCAAATGTTCAAGGAACCATGTAGGTTATAATTAACTGCATCCATTATTAGAGCACCATGATACTTTGCAGAAAGCACTTGTGTTATGATATTAAAGGTGTCCGATTGTTGATGAAGCATGCATGTTGCTCCTTTTCAGAAAAGATAATGAAAGCATGTCACAAAAGCATTGTTGTAACCCATATCCTGAATTTAGCTTTTGCGGATACTTGGAATATAAATTATGCAACTAGATAGCAAGATGGTTTCCAAGAAGTCACTTACTCCATTCCATGACAACTTTATCATGCCAATCACAACTTGATCACACGGCTTGGCCACCAATTAGAGCACCGTGACTACTTGTGCACATCTCATTTTGTAAAATGCAGCCACCAAACATCAATCATAACTTTATCATGCCAATCACAAATGTACCACCAAAATTTCAGATACCCTGCCCTCCTAATTTAACTTTTTGAACAAAATTAACCCTCCTAATTATTCAACTAAAATGAATTACTCAAGTCAAGTTACCTTCCTAATTTCAGCTCAAATGAACTACATTACTCAAGGCTTTGCTGTGCTCGATCAACTCAATGAAAACAGCAAACAAACTCAACTTAACCAATAACAGTAAAATTAAATATCATACAGAGAAAGAGAAATCAGCATGCATACATATCCTCTGCCTACAGCACAAACCTCCTGCGTGGTGCAAATCGATCCAGAGCCCATCCCAACCCGCAACCCATCCACCCCGGCGGCGATCAAATTCTGTGCCTGCGCAACGGTGACCACATTTCCACCGATCAGATCCACCTCAGGGTACATCCTCTTGGCATACTTGATCATGTCGAGCCGGTAAACAGAGTTCCCCTGTGAGCTGTCGATCACAATGGCGTTCGCCCCTTCCTTCGCCAGCATCTCGAGCCAGCGCTTGTCCTCCCCCCGCGTCTGCCACGAGCGACGGCTTGCCCAGCTTTGGGTAGCTACGGATACGCTCGACGTCCTGGTCGGTGATGAGGTCGACGACGACCTCGCCGGCGTCGTCGGAGACGAGGGGCACGAAGTCCAGGCCCTCGTCGGCGAGAAAGGCGGCGGCTTTCTCGAAATCGAAGGCGGCAGACGCCGTGCGGGGGGCGGGGGTCATGTACTCCGACACGGGGATGCTAGGCCTGTGGTCGGCAGCGGCGGCGACGCCGACGAGCCTGGAGAGCGCGTCCCCGCGCTCGGTGACGACGGGTATGCGTAGCCGGTGAAGTTGACGGTGGACGGGGCGGCGGACGAGGCGAAGAACCAGGTGGAGGAGTCCTAGGGGACGCGGCGCGGAGGATGGATGCCTGGGTCTTGGCGTCGGCATTGCTCTGGACGACGGCGCCGAGGGAGGCCATGGTGTCCTCGGAGACGGTGTCCATCGGGGAGGCGACACAGGGGACGGAGAGCGGCATGCGGCGGGAGAGGCGGGTGGAGAGATCGACGGCGTCGGCAGGGAAGTCGATGTACCCTGGGAGGAAGATCACGTCGTCGTAGGTGTTGGAGACGCCCTGCGAGAACAGCTACGCCGCGGAGAAGCCGTCGCCAGCCATGGCGTGAGGGGTTTTGCCTTTGCGGGGGGGTTAACATTTGACGGTGGCGGCGTGTGGGGCGCAGGTGACGGAATGAGCGGCGGCCGGCAGCAGAGTCGGAACCAGTAGGAACTGAGCAGCGCGGCGACGCTTATTTATGGGAGAGCAATCGCAATAGGAAATACCGAAATCCTCCCATGTGTAAAGTCTCTTACTACCTATGAATTATGAAATCCGAAATACCAAAATCCTACACTAAAATCCTGAAAAAATTTGTAAGATATGGCTTGTGTGTTTCATTTTTTTTATATTATAAGTAAAAGACCTTCAAGCTTGTCCAGTGACATCACTTACATGAATTATTATTATTAATCTATATTTCCCTTTTCTGCTTGTTACCAAGGTCCTGTTAGAAACAGAACAATAATGGGAGAAGTACAAATTAATTGAAAACTAAATGAAGGAAAAAGTGATATCTTTTATAAATTGCTGTTTATTTTCATGACCGTGTCTAAGCACGTTTTTCACGAAGAGAAAACAAGAGTTACAACAAAGGGTTACCAAAAACAACATGATCCCTACAAAACTAATAATACAGGGATAAAAAAATTCACAATGTAGGAAAAATATCAATACTTAGGACACCTATTTGTATCATTTCACTAATTATGAAATAAGTTTTCATATTTTACTTATTTGGTGTTTTAGAAGTTAATTAATTTTTTATAGTCCTCGTTAATTTTAAAATAGTTTGACTTAGAATAAATTCAAAAGTAATTATATTTTGTGCAGGAAGTTAAAGGTAAAAAACACACCAAGTAGAACGAACTGATTAAATCTATCTAATCAACCCAAACCAGTTGTTATTACATATTATTCAATGACTGGTGTGCCAAAAGGCTCACTCTAGCGATCACATATTGGGATGAGAACAACCACATCGAACAACAACGAAGGTTGGCAAAGGACACTACTGCATTAAAAAATTTTAGAGGTGGGCAAATCAAGATTCTAGAGGCGGTGAAACCTCCTCTAGGAAGTTATCACTGTTAACGGGAAATAACAGAGGCCGAGACATTTGCCTTCCTCTAGGAACCAAATAAAATAGGTCTGTCTACCCAACAACCTTGTATTTCAGTAAAAGGAAGCACATGGTTGTTTGTTGGCTGCAAAACACACAATTTGTAACGGAGGAAAAACCATGTGTTTTAGCACATGGTTGTTGGTTGCTTGCATAACACATGATTTCCAACAGAGAAGAAACCGTGTGTTTTAGCACAAGCTAGCACACGTTTGTTGCCTGCCTTTAAAACAATGGATTTTTAAAGAAGGCCCACGTAGAGGAAATCTGTTATAATTTCTGTGCAACCAAAGTTGGCCCATTAACTAAAATGACAAAATAGCCCATTTAACAGCAGCAGCCCATAAGAGAAGCCCAAAACCATGAATACATAGGAATATAACTAAAATTATAAATTGGCTCATTTAACAGCAGCAGTCCATAATAAAAACCCAAAACCATGAATACATAGGAATATAAAGACTTAGGAGAGAAGCAAAGCAAAAACAGATCTGCTGCGTGGGGAAAGCCTCTGCTCTGCTCACGGGAAAGGGGGAGACATCAGATTGCAAAGAAGAACAGAAAATTTCAAGAAGAAGAACTACAAGACTGATCCATACCTCATCAACAAAGGTTAGTATCCCAATCTTTTGAATCTACTTTTTGAAAAAGCAACAAAAAACAATTGCAACTCAGATCAAAGACTAGGAGAATGTAGATCCATGGAAAAGACATTTAGGATGGCAAAGATGGCCTGCAACTTGTGCTTACTACAATAGCAGGGCGTGGCCCTGGTTGCTCAGCGTGCACAAGAAGCAGGTGCAACACTTGGGGGTTCAACCAATTATTTTAATCAGACCCTAGTATCCTTGTGTTATGATGGTGAAAGAAGGAGGTGTATGGAAGATTAAAACTCTTGATTTGGAGCATAATCATGAGCTATGCCCTGGAGACAGGGATCAACTATTTTCTGGTCACAAGTACATGACAAAAATGGAAAAAGAACTTATCAAGACTATAAACGATAACAATATCCCGACTAGGAAGATGGTTTGTATTCTATCGTATCTGAGAGGGGGGCTTACAGCTCTACCAATGAAAAAGAAAGATATCAACAACTACAGGACAAGGCTGAACAAAGAAGTTAAAGGATCAGATATGACACAAGTACTAGATTATTTCAGAAATAAACAAATTGAGGATCCGTCTTTCTTTTACAAGTTTGATTTAGATGAGGACAAAAGAGTGAGAAACTTGTTCTAGACAGATTGTTCTTCTATGAAATATTATGCAGATTATGGAGAATGTGGAAGTTTTGACACGACATATATTACCAACCGATACAACTTACCTTTTGCACAATTTGTTGGAATCACAAAACATGGACAAAGTTGCCTTTTCGGATGTGCTTTCCTGCATGATGAGGCAGTGGATACTTTTAAGTGGGTATTTCAAGCTTTCCTTGAAGCAATGGGAGGAAAACACCCTTAAACGATCATCATAGACCAAGACATGGCGATGAAATCAGCAATAGAGCAAGTCTTCATAAACATAAAGCACAGAAATTGCTTGTTCCACATAAAGACCAAATGCTACAATAAGAATGTCAAGGTCTTTGCAGCAAACGAAGGACTATATGAAGACTTCGAAGATATAGTGAACAATAGTCTAACAGTGGAAGAATTTGAGCAACTTTGGAAGAAAATGATTGAAGAAAGAAACCTTCAAGGGAATCACTACTTTTCCAAAATGTGAAAAATAAGGAAAATGTTTATCCCGGTCTACTACAAAAATGACTTCTTCCCTTTCGTACAGACCATATCTAGGAGTGAGATAACAAATGCTAGGTTCAAAGACAATGTAGGGCCAACCTATAGTATCATTAGCTTTCTAAAAGAGTACAATCGGATTGTTGATACCATAAATCAAGCAGAAAGGCTAGAGGACAGCTATAGCAAGCAGAAAAGGCCAAATGAATTTATATTTGGCTACAGAATAGAGCAGCAGGCGCAACAGCTATACAACAGAAACATATTCAAAAAGTTCCAGCTACAACTGAAGGCAACATCAATGCTGAACTACAGGGAAACCAAAGATAGGAAAACATTTGTGGTGTAGCAAAAAAGTAACCAGATTCAGGAGGTTCATAGGTTCAGGAGATATATAGTAAACGCTGACCTAACAGAAGACGAAGAAGAATTTACCTACATATGTGCAAAATTCAGCAAAGATGGGATACTCTACTCTTATATTCTGAAAATAGTCATTGAAAAGAAAATCAAGAATTGACGAACAAATAGTAGAGCAGATGTTACTAAAATAACTAGAACTGAACACATGATAGAATGGGAAAAAACAAAAATTAAAATCAAGCGTTGTGGAGGATAGATCAGACTGTAAAACAACCAGATCTAGACCTGTAGCAGATGCTGGTATAACTTGGATGGAGAGATCTAGCGATGAGCAGCGCAGAGAGAAATTTGTGAGAGCAGCAGAGAGAGAAATCTGGGAGCGGGAGATGCGTAGAGAGAGATGGCGAGAGGCAGAGCAGAGGGAGATGTGGAGCGAGAGAGAGTCAGAGAGAAATGAAGAGAGCATGGGAGAAGAGCGAGAGAGACAGTCTTCAGCTTTAGTAGTCTGGGAATGGGTAGAGAGCAGAGAAGAATGCCGAAGCTGGAATCGAACGTGAAGCCAGTAGTCTGGGAATCGGAGTCTGGAAAGAGATGGGCGAACTGCACGGTTTGACCGGCACGAATATTGAAGAGTTGCCTGACGCACAATAGTGTATGCAGCCGCATGCCGTTGTGGGAAAACCGGGTTGGTAAAAGCTCTAGTGTGTGCATTTAGGTGGTGTTTAGTTACTTCTCCTAAATTTTAGTCGCTGTCCCATCGAATGTTTGGACACATACATAGAGTATTAAATATAGATTAATTACGAAACTAATTGTATAGTTTGCGACTAATTTACGAGACGAATCTTTTAAGCCTAATTAGTTCATGATTTGAAAATGCGATGCTACAGAAAATATGTGCTAATGACGGATTAATTAGTCTTAAAAAATTCGTCTCATGGAGTACTGACGGATTATGTAATTTGTTTTTTATTAGTATCCGAACACCCCATACAACATCCTCCCGATACACCTCCTAAATTTTAGTCACTGGATCAAGCACTACCTTAGTTTCGTGATCAGTCTATATTTAATACTCCATGCATTTATCCAAACATTTGATGTAACACGACTAAACTTTTGCCCGAGGGAAACAAACAGGGCCTAAATTTGTCCTGCACGTGCACGCAAACAGTAGCGTCAACGTCTAAACCACGACCGCCCATCTGCTCGATCACAATATACCATATATGAAGATCTGTTGGGAAATCACAATGCCCCTTCATGTACCAGTACTTCTCACCTCCTATCCGTCGCTCAAATCAATGCCAATTATTAAGTTATAGTGGAAGGAACACAATTAAAAAGGATACAATAAAATTGACATTTTTCTATTGTTCTAATGTATAATAGAACACTTCTAATATTCTAATGTATAATGAAACACAAGTTAGTGCAATAGTAGGAACGTAGAAACGTAATTTACAGACGGGGAGTTCGATTCCCCTATTTTCACCTTAAAAAAGGCCACTTCTTATGATATATTTATAATTAAATACATGGTCCACTAATGGTTGCACCATAACATGTGGTCATGTCCACGTCGTTAATAGCACATCTTGAA